CTAACACAACTGCTAAGGTGTCCACCTCTAGAGGGCTGCCCACAGCTCTGGCCTGGACCCTTAAAGAAAAATCCAAAGAAGCTTCTGCTATTTCAGCTATCCTTTTCACACAAGCATTAAGAACTTCTGTGTATCAAAGGACGTTATCAGGAAAGTAAAAAGACAGCCTATATACAGAATGGGACAAAATATCTACAAATCATGTATTGATAAGGGTCTTGTAGTGGATTGAATTATGTCCCCCCAAAACTCATGGAAGCTTGAATTGTGTCCCCCAAGTTTTATGTATTAGAAACTTAGCCCCCACTGGGATTGTTAAAAAGGTGGGAAATCCAGGGCCGAGCCCGTGGCACACTCGGGAGATTGCGGCGCTGGGAGTGCAGCGACGCTCCCGCCACGGGTTTGGATCCTATATAGGAATGGCCGGTGCGCTCACTGGCTGAGCGCGGTGTGGGCGACACCATACCAAGGGTTGCGATCCCCTTACCAGTCACGAAAAAGACAAAAAAAAAAAAAGCTTTAGGGCCGGCCCGTGGCTCACTTGGGAGAGTGTGGTGCTGATAACACCAAGGCCACAGGTTTGGATCCCTATATAGGGATGGCCGGTTTGCTCACTTGGGAGAGCATGGTGCTGACAACACCAAGTCAGGGATTGAGATTCCCTTACCGGTCATCTTTAAAAAAAAAAAAAAAAAAGGTGGGAAATCCCATTACAGTAATTGAAAGGTGGAGCCTTGAAGACGTGATTAGATTGTAAGACCAGGCCATAGTGAATGGATCAAAAATGGTGCTCAGGGGCATGTTCTGAGGGCTTTAAAAGAAGGGGAGAGTCTGTCTTCCTCTCTCTCTCTTGCTCTCCCTGCTCTCTCTGCTTCCACCACCTTACAATATGAGACCACTGGGTCACTGTCACCACCACCAGATGGACTTTTGGACTTCCTAGCCTGAGAAACTGTAAGCAATAAATTTCCTTTTCTTTATAAATTACCCAGTTCCGAATATTTTGTTACAAGCAACGGAAACAGACTAATACAGGTCTAATATCCAGTAGACCCTTAAAGAATTACTACAACTCAATAATAAAAAGCAAATGATGCAATTTAAAAATGAGCAAAAGACCTGAATAGACATTTTTCCAAAGATGATACACAAATAACCACCAAGCACATGAAAAGATGTTCAACATCATGTCATTTACAAAATGAAACCCAAAACCATAATGAGATACCACTACTCACCCACTAGAGTGGCTAGAATCAAGAAGTCAGATAGTAAAAACAGTTGGCAAGGAGGCGAAGAAACCAGAACCCTCATATGCTGCTGCTGGAAATGTAAAATGGTGTAGTTGCTTTGGAAAATGGTCTGCTAGTTCCCCTGATGATTAAACATAGAGTTACAATATAACCAGTAATTCCACTCCTAGGTAGGTACCTAAGAGGAATGAAAACATGACCACACAAAAACATGGGCAGGAATGTTCAGAGCAGCATTGTTCATAACAGCCAAAAGGAGGAAATAACTCACGTGTTTACTAAACGATAACTGGGTAAACAAAATATGATACATACAGACAATGAAATATTATTCAACCATAAAAAGGAATGAAGTTATATATGCTACAATATGAATGAACCTTGAAAACATCATGCTAAGTGAAGCCAGTCACAAAAGGTCTCATATTCTATGATTCCATTCAAATGAAAATCTAGACCAGGGAAATCTACAGTGACTGAAAGTAGAATAGTGGTTGCTTAGGGCTGGCAGGATGGGAGACTGCAGGGGGCCTGAGGGAGACAAAGCAAGAGCTAATGAGACAGAAGCTAGAGAAGTAAATTCTCAGCAAACAGCAGGGCAAGCGGAGAGCACACGGCATGTTTGAGAAATAAAAGAGCAACTTGGAATAGAATACATGGGGAAGAAGATGGAATATAGTAGAGAGGCTGGAAAGAAAGGCAAGGACCAAATTGTGAGGGTCATGCATTCTTCCAAGATGTTCAGATATAATCCTAGACAAGGGGGAACCACTGGTAAGTCAATACACACAAAATATGATCAGAACTGTGTACAGTCATCCCCGGGTATTCGTGGGGGAACTGATTCCAGGATCCCCCACAGATACCAAAATCTGAGGATACTCAAGTCCCTTGTATAAAATGGTGTAGTATTTGCATATAACCTACATACATCCTCCCATATACCTTAAAACATCTCTAGATTACTTATAATACCTAATGCAATGCTGTGTAAATAGTTGTTGACTGTATTGTTTTTTATTCATATTACTTTTTATTGTTGTATTGTTATTTTTTTTTTTCCTGAATATCTTTGATTCGTGTTTCTTTGAATCCATGGATGCAGAACTTGCTAATACAGAGGGCTGACTGTATTAGAATAAGTTTGCTGGCACTGTGGAGAAATAACTGGACAGAAGAAAGTCCAGGGACAAAAATAAAAGTAAAGAAATTATGGGCCGACCCCGTGGCTCACTTGGGAGAGTGCGGCGCTGGGGGCACAGTGGCGCTCCCACCGCGGATTCGGATCCTATATGGGGATGACCGGTGCACTCGCTGGCGGAGCGCGGTGCCAGCAACACCAAGCCAAGGGTTACAATCCCCTTACCGGTCACAAAAAAGAAAAAAAAAGAAATTACTGGAAAAGCCCAGGTGAGACTGGTCTGAACTGTGTCAGTGGCAGTAGAATGAAGGGAAAAAATGGAAAGTGTGCGATCAGGTCTGCGTGAATTTTGAGGGAGAAGTCACAAAGCTGGGATCCAACCTGAGTAAAGCGAAGGATGGTGGTTCCATTATTCCATAGAGGAAAAACAGGAGGAATGAGAATAAGAAAGAAATGCTGTGTTAGATGCCTGGAAGCTTTCTAAGCGGAAATTCCAGTACACAAGTGGAAGTTACAGAATGGAACCAGAAGAAAAGTGGGGGCTAACGGGAGAATTCAGTGCTAAAAATCATGGCAGTACAAAATACTGATACAACTAGGGACAGCAGCAGTTCTCAAACTTCACTTGCATCAGAATCACCAAGAGCCTTGTGAGCCCTGCCCCTAGAGTTTCTCATTCACTGGGTCCGGGGAGGGGCCCAAGAATTTGCATTTCTAACCAGTTCCCAGGTGACAGTGACACATGCATTAATAACTACTGGATTACAACAAAAAGAAGAGATGCCCCAGGAAGAACCATGAAAAACACGAAGGTCAAGAACTAAGTTTGAGGGGCCGGCCCGGTGGCGCACTGGATAGTGCGCCGCTTGGGAAGCGCGGCGGCGCTCCCGTCCGAGGGTTCGGATCCCACATA